GCTGGCGGGGAGGGTGCTGGTGAGTCCCGCGTGTCACCTCTCCCTGTCCCTGTCCCCTTGGTGACAGGCTGCACAGCTCGCTGCTCTGGCACGGTGATCGGGGCACACGGGCTGATGCTTCCGTCAGGCGGAGGGGGCAACGTGGGGTGTAGGGACCACCGTCCCGTGCAGTGGCAGGGCAGTGTTGTGCTATATGGACCCTAACCCTGTGGTTATGATCCCTAGTGGGACCCTATGGCTAATGGCAGGGCAATGTTGTGCTATATGGACCCTAACCCTATGATTACAGTCCCTAGTGGGACCCTAGGGCTAGCTACAGGCAGTATTGTGCTATATGGACCCCATAAAACAGTAATATCCCAATGTATGGAGCACTACTAAATGTGCCCCGATGCCCGGATCAGGGTAGGGGCAGCGTGTGGGCAGAGGCACCCGGTGTCCCGGGGCCACAGGGGCTGTCGCGGTGCCGCGGGCGCTGGGACGATGCCCGGCTGTGCCCGCAGGCCTGCGCCCACCGCTACACGAAGGTGCTGTGGTCGGGCAGCGAGGACCAGCGGCGCATGGTGGGCAAGTGCTACGTGCGGGGCAACGACCTGCGCCTCAACATCAGCGACGAGTGGCAGACCTACCACAACGAGATGTGCAACTCCAACACGGACTCGGAGGAGAGCGGCATGTGCCAGATGGGCGCCAGCGCCGGCTTCACCTCCAACATCATCTACTTCGGGGCGCCCGGCGCCTACAACTGGCAAGGTGCGTGCCCGGCGAGCTCGGCGCTCGCGAGCGCTGCGGGCAGCGGGTGGCAGCAGGTTGGCGCCGAGGGCCTCATTCCTGCCCTGCCGTCGCAGGTACCAACTACGTGCTGCAGCGGGAGATGTGGGACCTGCACGACTCCTCCTACCCCAACGAGAAGAATGGCAACATCTACATAGGTGAGGAGCGGGGCCCGGGGCTTCCCGACCTGGGTCCTTGCGGGCGTTTGGGTCTGGAGGAGGTTTGGGGAATGCGGGTTTAGGAAGGAGGTTTAGGGAGGAGGTTTAGTGAGGGGGTAAAAGGAGGAGGTTTAGGGAGGGGGTAAAAGGAGGAGGTTTAGGGACGAGGTTTAGGGACGAGGTTTAGGGAGGAGGATTAGGGACGAGGTTTAGGGAGGAGGATTAGGGAGGAGGATTAGGGACGAGGTTTAAGGAGGAGGATTAGGGAGGAGGATTAGGGACGAGGTTTAGGGAGAAGGTTTAAGGAGGAGGTTTAGGGAGAAGGTTTAAAGAGGAGGTTTAGGGAGGAGGATTAGGGACGATGTTTAAGGAGGAGGCTTAAGGAGGAGGATTAGGGATGAGGTTTAAGGAGAACTTGCAGAGGGACATGGGGATGTCGGGGGATTCCCCGGGGTGGCCGTGTCCCAGCGGGATCCTGCCCCGGCTCACTGCGGGCTCCGGCCGCAGGGTACGCGGCGGAGATGGGCAGCGCGGTGCTGCAGCAGCGCGGCGTCACGGTGGTGTCGGGAGCGCCGCGCTACCAGCACACGGGCGCCGTGTACCTGCTGAGCCGCAGCCCGCAGCACACGCTGCAGAGGAGCCTGCTGCTCCGCGGCCACCAGGTCGGCTCCTACTTCGGCAGCGCCGTGGCCCTGGCCGACCTCAACAACGACGGGTGAGTCCGGCGGCGCCGGCCCTTCCAGCGCACGGGCCCTCCTGGGGCAGCCCCTTGCTCAGAGGGTCTTGGGGGGCACAGCGTGGGGTGGGGATTGTCACCCATGCTGGGAGGGTCTGTCATTCTGGGGGGTTTGGGCTCGTTTTGGGGCTCCCGCAGCTCTTTAGGGGATTATGTCTTCCTGTGGCTTTCAGGGGTCCTTCTGGGGGTGTCTCCCTCCCTGTCGCAGGGGGACGCTGGGGTTTGTCAGCCTGGGTGTCCCAAAGGGCCCGTGACGAGTGCCTTGTCCCCGCAGGTGGCAGGACCTGGTGGTGGGAGCCCCCTACTACTTCAAGCGCAAGCAGGAGGTGGGGGGGGCCGTGTACGTCTACATGAACGAGGGGGGCGACTTCAGCCCCGAGCCCAGCCTGGAGCTCACCGGCCCCAGCTACTCGGCCTTCGGCTTCGCCGTGGCCAGCATCGGCGATGTCAACCAGGACGGCTTCCAGGGTGAGGGGCTGGGGGCCCCCCGGCACAGGGGGGACCCCAGGGGGTACCCCAGGGTGCACGCCACGGTGGGGCTGGGCTGCCTATGGGGTGCAGGGGGGTCTTTGGGGTGTGAGGGGATCCCACTTGGGGGGTGTAATGAGCTTTGGGGCAGTGGAGGTGTGTGGGGAAGGCTCGGAGTGCACAGGAAGGGATGGGGGAGTATCTTGGTGTGGGGCATTCAGTGAAGGAAAGGGGTGGGTGAGACGGGATGGGGAGATCGAGGAGCAGCCCCTACCCCATGGGACCGACCGTTCTCTTCTCCCCGCAGATATCGCCGTGGGGGCTCCTTTCGAGGGGCCTGGCAAGGTCTACATCTACCACAGCAGCGCGGAGGGTCTGTTGGACAAACCGCGGCAGGTAACTGCCCCGGGGGGCTCCCTCAGCCACACAGGGGGTCTGGGCTGCCTCTGAGCATCCTCCTGTCCAGGGCTGGGATAAGGGGGGTCTGCAGATCCGTGGGGAGGATGGGGTGGTGCCGGGCAGCAGGAGACACCCCATTCTGCTGTTACCCCCCCAGGTGATCAGCGGCTCGGATCTGGGTCCCGCCAGCATGCGGACCTTCGGGTACTCGCTTAGCGGGGGGCTGGATGTGGACGGTAACTCCTACCCCGACCTCCTGGTGGGCAGCTTGGCAGACAGGATTGCCCTGCTCAGGTAAGGGAGCAGGGACCGGAGCAGCTCTCACAGCCCCCTGTCCTGGCACGGCCACCTCCCGGCCCTGGGGACTGTCCCTGCCTTTTCCAGCACTCGGCTTGTGCTGTGGGTGCCAAGGGGGAGGCTGCTCCCATGCTGGAGGCTCAGCCGAGCCCTGTCTTGCTGCCCAGAGCTCGCCCCGTGATCAACATCCTGAACAAGACGCTGACGGTGAACCCCAGCAAGGTGGACCCTGCCCGCTGCACCCCCAGCTCCTGGTAAGGGCCCCGGCGCGGCTGGTGCCACCCGTGGCGCTGGCACTGCGGGCGCATGAGCTGCGGGGTGCAGCCCTGCTCACAGCCCCCTTCCCCTGCAGCATCAAGGTGACCGTCTGCTTCTCCTACAACCAGAGCGCCGGCAACCCCGAGTACAAGGAGACCATCCGTGAGTGCGCGAGGGAGCAGGCGGGACCCACGGGAGTGGGTCTGAGGATGAGGCCGGAGGGGACACACTCGCGTGCAGGGGGTGCATCCATGGGGGAGGATGCAAGCTGTTGACACACACGCGTGCGGGGGATATGTGTGACTGTGTCCACGTGTGCGTGTGTGCAGGGGGACACACCGTTGCGTGACCCCCGTGTCACTGCTCTCCCCCGCACCCGGCAGGCCTGGAGTACACGCTGGAGGCTGACAAGGACCGGCACCCGCCCAGGGTGAGGTTTTTGGAGACGCATTCTGCCACCTACCGCGGCATCTTCCGTATGCCCGACACCCGCTGCGAAACCCAGGAGCTGCTGCTGGTGGTGAGTGGGTGTGAGCGCGCGCCTGTGCGCCCGGCCGTGCGCCTGTGCGCGCTACAGGCTGCTCTGCGCGTGGAGCCGGAGCAGGGAGACGGGATGGGACACGGTGAGGTGCACAGGCTCCTGGAGATGGATGGGACAGACATTTTCCAGCAGGAAAAGAGGTCTGAATCCAGGCTGCACCTGCAACGAGTTTCATGCATCTCATGGGCAAGGGGATGGAGCAGGAGCAAGTGTCCCTAGATGTGGCCAGGGGCTGCTTTGCTGTAGCTGGGCAGGGAGAGCGTCAACGCTCTCTTGTGTTTTCCTGCATCCCACAGGAGAACATCCGGGACAAGCTGCACCCCATCGTGCTCACCATGAACTACTCACTGGTGGAGAAGCCCAGGACCTTCCAGCTGGGCCTCCACTCCCTCGATGCATTCCCTGTCCTCAACGCGGACCAGTCGCATGAGAACGAGACTAAGGTAGCGTGGGGAGCAGGCAAATAGGCTGGTTGGGGCATCCAAGGGACATGGGAGCCCTCCAGGTTGTGCCCATGCCTCAGGGTCCCCATGTCTAAATGGCACAGACACATCCCCAAGAGCTGAGCTGTGAGTGCCCCTCTGAGCCTGGCTTTGTGCTGAAGAAGACTCAGGGTGGGCACTGACACAGGGACGTCCCTGTCCCTCAGATTGAGTTCCAGAAGGAGTGTGGCACAGACAACAAGTGCTACAGCAACCTCCAGCTTCAGAGCAGCTTCGTGAATGACCAGAACCAGCCCCTGCCCAGGTGAGCACTGGCAGCGCCAGGTCTCCGTCCACCCCTCCTGTCTGCTGTGCCATCCCCTACCTGGCTTGGGTCACCCCTTGGCCACAGTGTCCCCATCTTGGCATGTGCTAGCGTCTCCGTCACACTGGGGTGGATTTATGGTGGGTGGCACCATGCGGGCACCCCTGTGCTGAGCGGGGCCAGTCTCTGCGTGGCGCAGGCTGAACGGGACCCAGGTGCTGCAGTACAGCCAGGACATGCGGAAGCTCTACCTGAGCGTGAACATCACCAACAAGCCCAGCACGGCCTCCAACGGCGAGGATGCCCACGAGGCCCTGCTCAACGTCACGGCACCTGCAACCCTGCTGCCCTCCTCCGTCCGCCCGGTACGGGATGCCCTCCCCGCTCTCCAACTGGAAGAGGGGCGAAGGCCCCAACTTGGCACTGCCAGGAGGTTCCTCACACTCTTCCCCTCCGCAGACCGGGGCCTGCAGCTTTGGGGAGACGGTGCTGTGCGAGCTGGGCAACCCCTTCAAGAGGAACCAGAGGGTGAGCGCCCTCCTCAGCCCACCCGAGCGCTGCCCGGGGACCCTGCGGGCAGGCAGGGCTCTGGCCATGCTACTCTAAAGTCCATCTGTGTTGCAGGCGGAGCTGATCATCGTCTTCGAGGTCATTGGGATCACACTGGACACACGAGAGGTCTCGGTGTGGCTGGACCTAACCACGTGAGTGTCCCTGGGCGGGCAAGGATGGTTTGCTGGGAAGCAGGGGCCGGGGAAAAGATGCCTGGGAGGATGTCAGCTCCTTTTCCTTCCTTTTCGGGGAGAGCACGGCCGTGTAGCAATAGCCCCCTCAGCTGCTCCACGAGGGAACTGGCAACCTGTGGAGTTGCTGCTGAGCGCAGCAGGGCTCAGGAGGTGGCCAGACGAGGCCACCCACCAGCTCGTGCTGCTCCGTGGAGGGAGACGCTCACCCTGGGGTGCTGTCTTGCAGGCAGAGCACCCAGGAGGACCTGCAGCCCGTGCTGGCCAAGCTGCTCGTGGATTACAGCATCCAGTCATCGCTGAAAATGTGAGTGCAGCAGCACTGTGACCATGTCCGTCTGTGTCCCCCCCTGTGTACTTGGTGGTGCCCGGAGCCAGCGCAGCCCAGGGCATCCGCTAATGGGGCACATGGATGCCCCAACCTGCGGCCCCGGGGATGCTCCCTCCTTTCTCGGCCCCTTTCACCGTGCGTGTCCCCCTTGTCCTGTCCCCAGAGTCACCTCCCACGTCCAGTCGTACTTCAGTGGGACGGTGGTGGGCGAGTCGGCCATGCACAAAGAGCAGGACGTGGGCAGTGCCCTCAAGTTCGACTTCCAGGTGAGGCCGGCGCGCAGCGGTGAGCTTGGGGCAGGGCCAGCCCCGTCCCCGGTGCCACCAGCCTTGGCCTTGCAGGTGACCACCAGGGGGGAGTCGCTGGGTGCCCTGGGCACCATCCTGCTCGGTTTCGAGTGGCCCTACGAGATTCCCAATGGCAAATGGCTCCTGTACCCCACGGAGATCCTCATCAACAGCAACGAGACCTGCCAGCCCCCCGGGGGAGTCATTAACCCCCTCAACCTCACCGTGAGTGTCCTCAGCGCGGCTGCTCTAGGGCAGGACATGCCTGTGCCTCCGCTTCAGGATTCCCAGGCCTGTCCCCTCCTGTTTGCTCCAAGTTGCGTGGGCTCTAACAGGGTTCATTGCTCTCCAGCTCCTGGAGGACAAGCTCCTAACGCGGCAGAGACGCGAGCTGGGGGCATCGCAGCCGGCCGAGCCCCCCATCACTCTGGCCACTGCCAAGAAGGCCAAGTCAGAGGTGGCGCTGGTGAGTGGTGCCCTCCACCCGGGGACAGGATGTTTGTGCCCTTGCACGCACGGTTGCAGACCAGGGACGCGGCGCACGCTTCAGGCTGCAGCCGCTGGGCGGCAGTTGTCCCCTGCGCGTGGTGACATGCGCACGGCAGCGACAGCGACACGCAGCAGCGTGGCCTGCCCTAGTCACAGCAACCCTCCCACGCTCTCGCGGCTGCGGCTGTTTGTGCACACCGCGCACAGTGACTCGTGTACCCTCGGCACACACCGTTACGTGCGTGTGCAGCACAGCGTCACAGCTACACGCGTATGTGTGCAGTGACACCGAATTGCACGTGTGAACACACGTGCAGTGCACCCCTCTGTAGTCACACAGTGCAAACACACATACAGTTACACCCCACAACAGCATGCAACAGGCACAGCCGCACACGTGTGTGCAGTGATGCAGCTGCATGCACAGTTACACCCCGCTGCACAACAGCATGCAACGGGCACAGCCGCACACGTGTGTGCAGTGATGCAGCTGCATGCACAGTTACTCCCCGCTGCACAACAGCATGCAACAGGCACAGCCGCACACGTGTGTGCAGTGATGCAGCTGCATGCACAGTTACTCCCCGCTGCACAACAGCATGCAACAGGCACAGCCGCACACGTGTGTGCAGTGATGCAGCTGCATGCACAGTTACTCCCCGCTGCACAACAGCATGCAACAGGCACAGCCGCACACGTGTGTGCAGTGATGCAGCTGCATGCACAGTTACACCCCGCTGCACAGCAGCATGCAACGGGCACAGCCGTACACGTGTGTGCAGTGATGCAGTCACATGCAGTTACACCCTGCTGCACTACAGCATGCAACAGGCACAGCCGCACACGTGTGTGCAGTGACGCGCTTGCTTGCACGCACCCAGGTGTAACTGCACACGTGTGTGCACAGTGACACACTCACACACACCGGCTCCGCGTGCGTGGCATGCTGCATGGCCAGGGGCTCTGCAGACCCTGTGTGCCCCCCAAGTGCCCCCAGACCCTGTGTGTCCCCCTGAGCGCCCCTTCCTCTTGCAGAGCTGCTCCAAGGGCACTGCCCATTGCATCTGGTTCGAGTGCCCCGTGCACGGCACCCAGCACCCCACCTACTTCAGCATCCGCGCCCGCGTGTGGAACAGCACCTTCATCGAGGTCAGTGCTGGGGGGGCCTTTGGGTGCTGGCGGGGCTGAGCTGGGGATGCTGCTGAAAGAGGGCACTGAGTTTGCCAGGTCTCAGCTCAGTGACTAACACCCGTACCTCGCCCTGGTGGCAGGGGCTGGAAGGGGAGAGGTTGGCATTGGCTGCCCGGAGATGGGGTCTCCTCTGCTCTGGGACTCGTGGGGCCACCGAACAAGTGCCAGTGGCAGCCCCCAGACCCTTCCACTGCCCGTGTGCCCGCAGGAGTACAGCAATTTT